GCATATATATATATATATATATATGAATTGGTATGCAGATTGTTTTAACATTGACGTGCGTGCAATTGTAGCCAACTCACATGGGTGTCAAACTAGGTGTAAATCTGGGTGTACATGTAGCATAACTCTATCATATATCTGCAATAAACAATTCGTTATATCCATTTGACAGCTATGGGTACTTTGTCTCCCAGCTTATCGTTTGAATCTCCTAGTTATATCTTATATGTCAAGGACATAAATATGATTGGGAGAAATGATAATTTGACAGTTTTTAAAGGCATGCAAGTACACAATGCCCTCAAAGCCCAAACTGAAAGATCTGCCTGTTGAAGTCTTTCATTCAAAATCAACCACCCTCGCTCAGTTTTCGTTATCGTTTCGAGTTTTTGAGGTTTTGACCAATGACCTGGGAACTCAAAGAGAGGAATCAGGGGCACAGCCACCTGAGGCCCAGTGGGGCCAGTTGCCCCAACTGAATTTGGGAAAAAAACTTGGAAAAAGAAGAAATTAAGAGGGAAGAGGCATAAAGCTCCTGTAATCAATTTCTGTGAAATATTCATTTCAAAAGACACAGAAAATGGAAAAGAGAGAAAACTAAACAAGCTGGAAAACATACAGAGAGGAAATAAAAAGGATCAAGAAATTAACTCAAGCTTGGTCTTATTCACTTAAGCTACAAAACATAGAACGATTTGAAAGAAAAAATTGGGCATCAGAAAAAGAAAAAGAAAAGGAGAAGAGAGTATGAATGTAAGCTGTGATGTGCAGTAGAAAATTGGGAAAAGCACTGAGGAGGTGAATAGTTCGAGAGAGATTGCAGGTTCTAATATGTTTGGAGGGGGAAAAATCTGATTGCGTTTATTGTGGTTCATATTTTGCTTTGTATCAAAACTATATCCTGCAGACTAATTAATCTCTGGTTTTTTATTCAAGATTGTTGCATGTAGTGTGCAGCTCTTATAGCTGTTTATTTCATGAATAAAATGATTTGGGGATTTTAGAAATTATGAGGGTGAGTTTTGGTAAAGATGGAAAGCCAAATCAATTTGATGACTCTAATATGATGTCGAGTGAACGCAATGCCATGGAAATGGAGTTAGCTTATGTAGTTTGGCGTAGATTTTCCATAGTAAATGTGAAACTAAGAGAGATAGCAATGTTGGAAACTAAGAGTCAGCCCATTACCAGGTTAACATTGGAGAGCCTTATTTGGTGTAATTCAATGTGATTTCAAAACTTAATATGAAAACTGTTTCTACTTGGGATCAATAGGTTTGAAGGGCGTTATGCGTGTTAAAGAATGGTAGTTTGCTATTTGAGCAGGCAGAACCATGTGCTTGACTCTGCTCCATCAGTCTTATGATATCGGGTGACTTCAGAAGATGACTTCCCCAAAGGTCATCAAGATTGGAGTTCGATTGACTTGTCATCCCTTCTGAGTGCTCAATTGCTAAAACAATAACTTCCCATGAACAAAGAGTCAATGACTATAATTTTGGCCACAGACCTTTCAGAGAATCTCATTTGAATCCCATCTGTCCCGTTGTTTGCATTTGACACGGTATTGCTCCGCACTTGAGGGCTGATTAATAAAATCTCGGAGGTACCACCCTCCTTTAACAAAAAAAAAAAAAGTATTCTTAGTTAAATTTTTTTTATACTGTTAGACATGGACACTACCTTTTAATTCGTCACCTACATTTTCTTTTTGCCTTCTATGTAAACCAGCATTGTTCCGGTGCTGATAGCACAACAAGGCCTTTAATATTGGTAACAGCTTCAGTGGACAGAATGGTTGTAAAAAAGCCAATTCGGGTTGACATTGATCTGAAAATAGTGGGAGCTGTTACTTGGGTTGGGCGATCATCCATGGAAATTCAACTGGAAGTGACTCAATCCTCAGAAGGTATATTTTGAGATCAAAATCGCATGGTATTCTTTCTTCTTAACTTCCACAAGTTATACTTCGTTTTATTTTATTTATTTATATATGTAATAATTTGAAAATGAGAATACGAGATGTCTTGTTTTCTATCTTGAAAAATTTTGAGACTATGATTTAGACATGTTATCAAGTTTCATAGTATGCTCTGGATTTGAATGATGTGAGGCAATGTTAGGAGCATAGGAAATCATATTTGATGTATAATACGGTTGAAAAGGGATGTCGAATTCAATTTCGGCTTCATGAGTTACCTAGAAGAAGATAAAGTCCAAAATCCTAATAGGTTTTTCAATCAGTGTGACTCGTCGATTTTTCAGTTGAATATACCAACTTTGCACCCAGGACATGGATTATATTAGTAATTTTGCATCAAATCCACTATGGTCAATGTGTCATTGATTGTGTTGCACTTGCTTTAAACCAAAGTTTGACACAAGGTGATTGTGCTTCACTTTCGTGAATAACACTTGCATTTTTCTTCAATATGCTCTTATACCATTCAAATTGTGGATCCATATCTTCATACAAGGAGTGTATGAGATGGAAACCACTGTGGTAATAAAATAATTTTATGGACATTGTGGAAAAAGGAGATCTCGGACATGATTTAAAGTCAAAATAAAAATTGTAACCTTAAACTGTATGGAGGGGGCAATTCATCGCATTCATTGTATTGATGCTGTTCTCAGCATGTAATTTCTTCTTTTCCTACTATTTCTGCTGTTGGATTATGCTATAATTTCTAACATGGTTCCTTCTGTTGTAGAAACGTTTGATCCCTCAGACTCAGTAGCTCTAACTGCAAACTTCACATTTGTGGCCCGTGATTCTACGACTGGAAAATCAGCTCTAATTAACCAGATCTCTCCTGAAACAGTCAAGGAAATGGTGCTCTGGAAAAAAGCAAGAGAAAGGAACCAAATGAGGAAAAAGAAGAAACAAGAACAAAAAAAGGAGATTGATAGTGAGGAAGCGAATAGGCTTAATGAATTGCTATCTGAGGGCCGTATCTTTTGTGACATGCCAGCTTTGACCGATAGAGATAGTATTCTTATAAAAGATACTTGTCTTCAGAATTCTCTAATTTGCCAGCCACAGCAAAGGAACATCCATGGTCGAATTTTTGGAGGATTTTTGATGCGTAGAGCTTTTGAGCTGGCTTTTGCAACTGCGTATGCCTTTGCTGGCAGTTCGCCTTGCTTTCTGGAAGTCGATCACGTTGATTTCCTAAAACCTGTAAGTCGATACATCAATGCCTTTCTCATATGTGATGCTCATATTATTAACCGTGGACCCAAGAACATTTGTGATATCTGTCCGTCGATACAACATTTACGGTTAAGATCTATGGTGATCACTGAACTTAAATTGGTCAGACTTTTCTTCTCTTTTTGTCTATTATCTAACTTCTTCTCTGCTGATACAGGTTGATGTTGGAAACTTCCTCCGTTTAAAATCCTGTGTTCTGTATACAGAACTTGAGAACCAAACACAACCTCGGATTAACGTGGAAGTTGTTGCTCATGTTACAAGACCCGAACTTAGATCCAGTGAGGTGAGCAGATTATACTTTGCATAGCTAAGTTAAATTTATGTTAACATCATATTCATCTAGAAGTTTCAGTTCTTAGTTTGTTTGTTTTTTTTTGTTTTTTGGCGGGGTTGTGGGATGAACTGGTGTGTGTAAGTGAATTAGAGCATTTCTCGAAATTAAGAGTAGTGTATTTGAGTTACTAACCTTGTCGTTTGGCCAAGTAATCTTCTCCATATATTTCTAGTTTGAGTGGTTTATGTTGATCTGTGCGGATCCTAATTATACTTTACACTTATTTATTCCGTCTATCGCATTTTGTTTCTTTGTCATGTTATGATAGTTCTTTATGCAAACCATATCAATTAGTTAGAATTTCGTTTTCGATTATTCATGTAACTAATCCTCTTTCTCCTTCGACGTTATTGAGATTTGAAATTGTTACTCACAAATGTTCGTGTTCTTGAAATTCTCACAAGGTATCCAACAAATTCTACTTCACATTCACCGTCCGATCAGATGCAATGAGTAACGGTCAGAAAATCCGGAATGTTGTTCCTGCTACAGAAGAAGAAGCACGACGAGTTATTGAACGCATGGATGCTGAGAGGTCATAGAACTGTGATCTTCTTTTATATGCTTGGATTTGGATGGAGATGGTGGTAAAGAAGACGAATTGGAGAAGAATACATTTTTAACTGTGGGTGTATTAGATATTTCATGCTGCCTTCTTAACAAAGAAATGTTAGAGGTGTCGGATTTTTAACTTTTGATCAGTGAAAGATGTCTCTGATGGATTTCCATAAACTATTATCGTATAAATCTACCACTTGTGTAACTCAAAGTATTAGAGTTCGTATGTATAGTATTTGACCACCTTATCGAAGTAAATCAAACTACTTATTTTACGGATTTCGAATACTCCACATTCTTCAAGGTTGATGCGAAGCTAGTCTACTTTGGCCTCTTCTTTAAAACTATTTTCCATATTCATTTTTCAACTATATATTTTATAGAATTCTTGATTTTTATTAACTATTGAATTACATATTTTGCCTGTTTTATCAAAATCTATTAAAGATATAATTTCTATCCAAATCAAACTCGAGCTAAATTTGCAATCAATACACAATATCGTAAAGGAAAATGATATTTGTACACCTCGAAATGTATACCTTGGTTTACACCTCCCTCATATGGTGGGTGGGTGGGGGCACAATAAATCATAATTTTATGTGTGGGTCACCCTCCACGTAAAGGGGCGTATACCCTTATGTATGTGTAACATCTCTCATTCAAAAAATTGTCATATAAAATTGTGTAATTAATCAAATAAACTAATAAAAAATAATTTATAGGGAAAATTGCAGTCACTGTACCAATTCTTTCATTTTATTGCAGATTTTGTCCAAATCTTTCATTTGTGACATCCACGGTATCAAACCTTTCAAAAATTTGCATTCGGAGTCCAAATGGACTTAATGCATCCGTTAGTTGACCTAGAGTCAACATTTTGACCAAATTTTGACAGAATTTCAAAGGGTAAAAGGGAAAAATTATATTTTCTATAAAAAAAAACAAATATACTTCATCTTATCCACATACCCTACACACACCAACCCCCAAAAACCAAAACCAGGAATTGGAACCATCATTGCCACTCACCCCACCACCTGCCACGCCCATCGCCACCCCGACCTACAGTTCAGCATTATTTGCCTCTCTTTCGATGCTAATTCCAAGATTTTGCAATTGATAATGGTTGGGCTGGTTTTATTTCAACTGCAGCAACCGATTTATAGGCCTCTTGTTAATCTCTATCCCTATTCCAATTATTCAAATTGATTACCTAATAATTTCTCCATTGATTCCTTTTTTATTCACTCAATTCTGTGTTAAAGGTCATCATTTTTTTATTTTTTTTTCAAGCTTTTTATCTTATCAGCTTGACATTTTTGGTCACGAACCAATTACAAAACAATAAGATTGAATGAGAAATCCAACTAAAGTCCAGCTGAGGAGTCCAAGATCTGCTGGACACTTAGATGAGCTGCCAAGTGTGCCAGTTACTGTAGTAAAATTACTTCACTATATAATTCAATACCATCCTCATTAATACTGAAAGGTCGAAGCCTTTAATGAATAATGGCAAAGCAGGTTGCCATCGTTGGAGCTGGGATTAGTGACCTCCTGGCCTGTAAGTACACTTGTCCAAGGGATTCGATCCCATTGTGTTTGAGTCCCGGGACAACATTGGAGGGGTATGGACCAAAACTATACAATCCACCAAACTGCAAACTCCCAAATCTCTTTATCAATTCTCGGATTTTCCGTGGTCACCTCAACTAACAGAGTAGCAGAAATAATTATTACAGTTACTGGAAATTAGAATTGAAAGATAACTGAGTTGTCCTATTTTTTTAAGTAGTGGTACCACCTTACCTTTGAGGGTATTGCTGCTTCGGTTTTTTTTTTTCCCAAATAGGGAAGAAGGGAAGGGGGGGTCTTTTTGGATAATTACAATTTCCAGAGAACGAAGAGTCGTTGTGGATGTAGACAGTGCTTTTGAAGCGAGGATTACATTTTTATGAGTTTTAAAAGTGAGGAATTGGAAACAAAGCATTGTCCTGAACTTCAAGTGACAACACCTCACTAAGTGTTGGTCAAGTTTTTTGTTTCGTTTTTTGTTTTGTTTTGTTTTTGTTTGTGTGTGTGTGTGTGTGTGTTCTGAGTTTATGATTATAAATTTTTGTTTTCTTGCTTCTAAAGCTGGAATGATGCTTGTTATGAACATAGCGATTGCTCATTGCCAACCAACTATCAAAAACAATTAGGTCAGTGCTTGTTATCCGGCATGTATCCTCCTTGAAACATGCCCTACAAGATCTTCAAGCTTTACCTCTCCCTGAATTAGCTCTTATTCTAGCTCGTCATCCATTTGTAAGAGCGTCAAAGTGAACCATTTGCCTGTGGATGACTTCATAAGACTGATAGTTACTCCCTCCACCTGGAGAAAGAACATTTTTTGGCATTGCTTCTTTGTAACTGAAAATGCATCAGTTCATATCTCCCACTTTTTCTAGAATTCATTGCTAGAATATCATTTAGTGAAAAAACAATGACATTCATTTTTGTCACAGAATCGGCAAAACTAATCTTGTAGTGCTAATATGCAATCCCTTCCTCTGGGTTATGTTCTTTCGTATTGCTTACCATACTTGACAAAAGAATCTACGGTTATTGGCAAGAAAATTGAGATATTGTATGCCCAGAACCCTTAACTTTTGAGGAGCCTTTTGTTCGAATCAGCTTCCTGGCAGAATTTTGAGAATCTCTTCCTCATGTGCTGCTCAAGTGGATTTAACTGAAAAATCTACCAGTACCTTGGCTGCTTACCGGAACATTATGATCTCTACCTTATATTTGACAGATTTTTTTTTTTTTTTTAATTTAAAGTGTTTGACCTTTTTTTGGAGCGTGTCAAACTCTGACATGCTTAATTGCTAGGAAGAAGAAATGAGAAAGGGTGAGTTGGAAGCAGATAAAGATAAAATGATGAGAGAATATAGGGCACAGCTAGATGCTGAAAGGGCGAGTAAGCTTGCCCAAGGAAGAAACCACTCCAGTAGTAAATCTGCTCGCAAAAAGGGCAATGCATTGTATTCT